CTACTCACTTGGAAAAATGAAGGTATAGCCTTCATTTTCCTAGATTTTAGTAAACAAAATCAATAAATCGACAGAAGGATCCAGCGAATTGCCGAAAAAAGTAGCCTATCTTTTGCGCCGTGGCTTGTTTATAGGGAAACAAAATTCAGCCTCTTTGGTTCACATACAAAGGAGTCCATAAGCCACAAACATCCTAACAAACACGGTACAGTGTTTGAGTTTTATATATATACTAGCTGTCGTACCCGGCCTTGCCCGGGATAACATCACTTAGAATTCACTGTCTTTGGATATATGTGACACTCAAAGCAGTAGTGTATCATTGAAGTTTGTTTGCAAAAATAAAAATAAAATGTGTACACTTTTACTCAACAGCATTGTCTCTCTTCTTTTTGAAACATGGAAGACGTGAAAAAACTTGAAGAGCAAGCATTGCGATATAGGTGGAAGAACGTTCGAATAATGAAGCGCCCATTGCTATCCTGAGGATCATTTTTCCTAGTACTTCGCCGCTAATCGGTTATTCTGTTTTAACTCCCGCACTCTACCCTCCTCTCCCGTACTACGACAAAAGTAAGTGCTTCTTTGACTGTCCTTGCTTTAGAGAGCGAATACCTTTATAGCCAAAGCAACAGCCATTCTACCACGTTAAAGATATGTAATCCACAACTTGTGAGCCATTTGGATAACAGATTAATGAAAAAAAAACTCAAGGACTTCAGTCAATAAACAAAATTATGATAGAAGCTTTCAGATTGAGAGTCACGCTCATGCGGCTGGAATTCATGCCGGAGGTTCCAACGCTAGAGTGTGGCACGCAATTTGAGACAGCTTGTAACTTAGCGATTGGCTCACATCTGCATCAAAAAAAGGCTTTGACTTGCGTTAACAACACTACTACCTCGCACCGCAAAAGATGCATCTCGCAGTTTTAGACAGAATATATAGGATCTACATCTGAACGCTTTCGACCTTGCCTTGATGACGAAAGTTCACAATGGATCGTACTGCTCTTGTTTACATAAGTGTAGGAATGGTTCGGCAATAGCTGCTGATAAGCTTCATTCCCTTACTGAGAGTGCAACAAATCAATAAATCGATAGAAGGACCCAGCGAATTGTCAAAAAAAGTAGCCTATCTTTTGCGCCGTGGCTTGTTTATAGGGAAACAAAATTCAGCCTCTTTGGTTCACATACAAAGGAGTCTATAAGCCACAAACATCCTAACAAACACGGTACAGTGTTTGAGTTTTATATATATATAGATAGATGCCAAATGGTAGGGCTAATGGAGTGCCCGAGGCACAAGACGATCGAGATGATAGGGTGGCGTTGGGAGTACCGAATAATGAAGGTAATAAAGGAGTGCTTATGAAACAAAATAATCAAGATGATGAATGAATGTTTGAAGCGGCGCCTAATGGACAAGATGATGGAAATAGAATATTTGGGGCGGCGAATGAAGCAGGGGATGATGAAAATGGAGAGCTCGGGATGCCGAATCTCGGACTGCCGAATGGTTACCATCATGAGGATGATGAAGATGAAGTGCCGGAGGATCCGGATAATTGGCAAGAAGGTTCCTCATCAGCGAGCGAAGTATGGAGAGTAGATGGTCACGATTCACCGGAGGGTCCGCATCATCCGGTCCTAGGGTTAGGCGCCCGTCCCCTAACCCGTAGGGAAGACATGCTACTCTACCTTCGCTTAAATGGACTCGAGCGGGCGTTAGAGGCGGAAGATGAAGGCGAATTTGATGAAGATGAAGAGGTGGCACCTCTACTGGGGCCGAACGCTGATTTCCGCAGTGTCCGCCCTCAACTAGGGTGTGTGGTATGTGGCGTGAACGGCCACAGAACCTGCGACTGTGAGGTCCACTTGGAGTTCCGCGATCAAGTGCGGATCGTCTTCGCATATCGCCTATGTGGGCGATGCGCCGAATTCCATGATAGGCGTATGTGTATTACCCATCTTCACTGTGCGCGCTGTAGGCGAGAGGACAGCCACCCAACATTCCTATGCTGGAGGCCGATCCCGAACGAGTGATCTCATTTGAATGTTATTTATTATTATTTTGTGTACACAGTAAATTAATAATTCATGATGTTACTACAAATTGAAAAGTATACAATACTATGTGAAGATAGTAATACGACACCAGACAAGTTAGTACGATTTGGCAGATGGACGTGGTTCCCAAACGTCGGAATCCTTGTGCTGCTCCTTAGAGCCCTCGCGTGGATGGTTAAACGGGTGAAGGATGACTTTGGGAAGTTGGCCAAAAATCAACCAGACTTGCTCAATATGAAGGACGAGTGGGGTGGAAGAGTTAGGTGAAAAATCAAGCAGAGGAACATTCGGAGCACTCAGTGAGTAACCATGTCTATAGTAAAGATGTTTTTGCAGATTATGAAAAGAGCTTCTGGGACATGTGTTACATGGGAAACGATATTCTTTCGCTGATTTTGGACAAATTGTGAAGGAAGAGTAGTTCGGAATGAACTGTCCGCAGCTGCCATTGAAGGCTGCCAGAGATAAAGCGAATAGACGATTACAGTGTTGTGTGATGTTTCGTGTTCTTATATACTTCAATGGACAATTGCATTCTTCCTCCAAAAGCGTAGCTAGACGATAGGCGGAAATGAACGGGCGAAGGACATGCATTCCCGGAGGTGGTACGGCCATGACTTTTTCTTGCCCCTTTTTCCATTCTTCCGATGGATTTTCAGGAATTATCGGAGTTTCGTTTCTAATAGTGCTTAGAATATCGCGCAGGTGTTCGAAGCGTTCGTCAATGCTCATGCTTCTGAAATTTTAAATTTAGTTATTAACGCTATATAGTTCGAAGGCGGAACCTCCATGTAAGGCTCGGCATAGTTCCGCAGAGCAGCTAATGCTAAGACTGATGAAAATATCGTGTGTGAGATATTCAATGTTCGCCGGCCTTAACAAAACCAATTCCCAACGACTATTTATTAGCAAGGAGATGATCATGCAATAGGACGAAACAAGTGACCTTTCGGATTGAGACAACTAAACTACAAAAGATCGCAGTGAGCCGTCGGCCAACGGCGGTGAATCAGGACGGCCGATATGAATAAATGAAGGTGCGGTCGCTACTTTCAAAGTTACAAGACAAGAGTAAGAGAGTTCGAAAAGGAAGTTGAGGAACTACATTGAATAAGAATAAGAAAAGGTACGAATGCACACCGAAGGCTTCCTACGGTCTCTTATATATATGTTTCACTAATGGATACGAACATACATAGTCACATAAAACATATAATAAAAATGGGGTTCAGGTTAACATTGCCTAATGGAGAATACACAAACTCCCTAATGGGCCCATTATCCTTCGAAAGTTCCATGAATTTCTTTCTCTTGTTCTGCTAGTTCGTTTTCGTCATGTTCGATCACTTCGCTGTTGCAATGTTTGCTTACTCACTCGTTGTGTAAACATAGAGTCCGCTGTTCGCAGATGCGCGGAATATTCGGCAAGGCACGTTACAACACTTAGGAGCGGTTTTCTCGCTTTGAAAATTTCTTTTGCAGTGAAACTTGGCCGATTGTTTAGCTAGCCTCGCTAGCTATGTTGGATTGTCTCAAAGTTCTATCTCTTTTCAGTATACCTTTTTTGAGCTATTATTTTGGAGAAAAAGCCATTTTCATAAACACTGAACATATCATTTAGAAGCTCTTATCTTCTAGTTTTTTATGCTTATTTTCAGAGAACTTTGCTGATTTTTATGTTCCGTACCTTCTTCCTTTTTGCTCTATTCCGGAAAAAATCCACAGCCAGAAAAGGAAATTTTTTTGCATTATATATAAGGTTCGTTGGAGACTTGTGCAAAGGAAGCTTATCGAGATATATTTCGAAAAATTTCTGACCTAAAATTTTTTAGCATAAGTATGACATGTCGTTGTGGTCCGTTTAAGTCGCATAAAGATCCTATGCGCTGTTCACTTACGGAAGATTTGCTTAAATAGTGAGACTAGGCCTTGAACATTTCTACCAGAAAAACGAAAACATTTCATCAATTGTTAGCTGCGAACAAAGTCAAAAGCTGTCAAAAAATGTCCATTCAATGACACCTTTAGAGCTAAAAAGAGGGTCCATCGAAGTTTTTCGTAAAAGAATTTCATGAAGAAATTTGGTGAAGTGCAAGGCGCAGTACTCCTCATCTGTCTATTGGCTACCAATGAGCAGTATTGTGCAGTCTATGTTCCAAATAAAGTTATAGTCTCTCAAAGTGGAGGTCTATAAGAGAGGACGTTTTGATATTTGTCTGGAAAATTCTTCGTTGTCGCTGCAATAATTCTTGAATACGCACAGATATGCCGATTATTCATTGTTTATTTGATAGTTGTAAGGCTTTATTGCATTCGCAATCATGTTCAAAAAAATCATGACAAATCAACTGAACTTCAAAAATGAATAGAACTTTCAAAACAACCCACTAACATCGAAATCTCTTCACCCTCAATTTGGGTGAACGGTGCCGCCAAAATGGAGGGCGCACTTCGTAAGAGCATGGCAAAGCGCCCTTGTCTGCTTGCGTTTAGAGCAAATAGGACCGGTTAGGTTCGTACCCTTTGATTCAACTGACTTGGCGACTGGAAGGCGGGGCTTCGTGACCTAATTAAGACTAGGTGGTGATCAGAGAGCACACGCGCGAGGGAGACGCAGACTGCGTACCGTGCGCGAGCAGCCTTAATTAGGTCACAAATCCCCGCCTACCAGCCGCTAGGTCACTTGAATCAAAGGTTGCACTTGAGAATAGGTTGATTGGGTTCGCGAGTTTGGCATTTCCTTCGAATGTAAAGGAAGTCAGGGCAGCCGTAGCACAAAAATAGCGAGGTTTGGTGTTTTGAGCAGTTACTTGTGGGTGAATTTGAATTTTTTCAAAATCTTTATACGAAAAAAAAACTAACAATTAGGAGAATTGCTGAGTCGTAAGTGCTACGGTTCTACACAACTCAAGATTAAGAACCACAATTTGTTCAGCGAGGACGTGTTAATGCTGTGGTACCAAATCGTTTTGATGTTTTCTTCTTCTCAATACAAAGTCGTGTTTCTCGGCCGCATGCCAAATCGAACTCTCTACATAGGCTGCATGCTCTGCCTTTTTCGTAGATCAGATCGTTCAAGATGTTGCCTCTGCAAAATATAATTTTTAATAAAATGTCATTTTAGAAAAGAGGTAAGCAACGTGCCCATAATCATACACACAAGACACGTGATAGCCGTCACTGCAATTCCGCACATAACAACCAATATGTGATGTGGTGTCCCAAGCCATCTAAATTATATTGAGTACAACATGAAGAGAAATATTTGAAAATACCCGAGTAAAAGTCTTAATAGTTTTGTTTTCCATGTCTTTCGTAAACATAAGCCCTTTGATTGGATCGTGCTCTTTTACTGTATACCACCACTTATAGATAGCCTAAATTGCTAATTTTATTAGAAAACAAACAGACAAATAAATTTGGAAGGAGACGAACCACTTTCAACGCTTGCAATCTACTTCCTGCTAAGGAGTGATCTATAATGTCAATGTTCAATTCTTCGCCAGTCATCTCCTTGTAATCTATCTCATCTCTCTTGCATTTTTTCATAGTGAAACGGGCATCCCTTTCAAGATCGCAGTCGTATTTCTGGTAAGGTGGTTTTACTTTGGGTTTCTCTAATCTACTGTTAATACCAATTTTAATATCGCTGCTCCCTGCGGTAAGCGCTCACGATTTCTCCATCTGACTTTACCTCGAGCCAACCTCGATCTAAAAAAATAAATTATAGCATCGTATGTCAATACGATTGAAGGCTGCGTCCGGGCAGATTTTTTAATGGAGAAAATAGGCGCAGAAAACGCCGAGCCTCGAGGACCACGCCCACTTCCTCGCACGGCCCATCCCCTTGAACGAACTCTCCTCAGCCCTTGACGTGTTTCGACATGGCAAACACAATCGGACATGTTAATTCTTGCTTTCGACAGGGTAGCTCCACGGTTCTCTCAAAATTGTGAAAAATGGGGTTATTGGAGAAATCACGCATTCTGAGTGCCACATTTGGAATCAGCGCTACGAAAAGGTCTGGATAAGGCCAAAAGTAGAAGTCGAGATTCTGCCCGAACGCTGCCTTTCAAGAGGATTATGGCTAAATTAATGGCAGCAGGAGCGGTTCTCAAAATGTACGTGACTTATAAAAATGTGCAAATGGCTTGTTTTTATTTATAAATAGCTGGCTTTCCCGGTCCAGTCCGGGTGATTGTTTAGGAGGATGGCTAAAGCCTCGCATTGTCTTCCTCCCGTCTTTTTTTCGGTCCAGCCATGTCCTCTGCCCTTTTCTGCAGTCTTTATACTACAGTGGAAGGTCCCTTCCCCCTTGGTCTTTTGCATGAGCCTACCTCAGAACGATTCGAGTAACTGCACCTTCTTCACTTCAAGATGAAAATGAACTTCACTGCATTATTTACACCAAGATGTGCAAGCGGTTTGACAGCGGTTAATAAGTGTTCATTTTCATTGCGTGGTTCGCAAAATCAATAAATCGACGGAAGGACCCAGCGAATTTTAGTGAAAGGTGGCCTAAAACCGTTTCTCGGATCGAAAACATTTGTGTGTAATGTTTTAGCTCAATTGGTTGAGTGGCGCGCGTCTCTATAAAGCACATACCCTCCAAACAGACAATTTTTGATTTTTATATATATGGAGATAACCAAAATTCCAGTATGACACATTTGCCTTCTAGTCACAGGGCAGAAAACCAAAATTCCAGTATGACACATTTGCCTTCTAGTCACAGGGTAGAACTGTGGTAAACATGCCAAAAAATCTTACGAGGGAAGGATACTTGATCAAAGTGGCGTTTCTATGGGAATTGCGCACTGTTTTAAAAAACAAAAAATGCTGATTCCGAATCTGCTTTTATTCTCTGTAAAGCGCTTCTGGGGAGAGAATTATGGGAATATTTGAAGCAAAAATTCTAATGCGCGATAGAATGAAAATCTTGATCTGTAACCTGTGAGCTAAGTAGGGTTATGGTTACTAGCAAGGCGATCAAAAGCATGAAAATTATGATCAGTGGTCCTCGAGGACTAGGCTGTTCGTGCAGCTAATACCTTCTGTTTGATGAGCTCATGCTAGGCATTACTCCAATCAAGCGCCGGAATAATTTCAACACTTTTTTCAAAAAAAAATATTTGGAACATCCACTGCATTTCTGATGCACTAAAAATTACCTGAGTCGGTAGTAAACCTATCGAAACTCAGAGTTATAACTCAGAGTTAACTCTGAGTTATCTCTGAGCTAACGCGCAACTATTTGACCCCTTTAACAGGTGTTTACACAGATCAAATCCGGAAAGCGATGATATGGCAGGATTCTCCTTAACACGTAGTTTATTCCTAGTAGCGCAACATTGTCCACATCGTCCTGCACAAGAAACATCGCCACCAAACGCGCAACTAGTGTCTACGATAACTCTGAGTTTGATGCGCGTTCCAGTCTATCATGGAACTCAGAGATAACTCTGAGTTTGGTCAGAGAAAGAGAAATAGTGCGCAAAAGAAGAGGGGCAGCTAAAAAGTCCTCCGGGGTACATTTTGCTCGTAGTTTAAGCAGGCATGATGTCGTGTCATATCGTGGTGCGCAGTGATTTACAAAATTTTGAAATTTTGTAAATACTTGGCCCAGGGGGTTATTCGGTGCTCTGGTCACGCATATGGTACCCATTTCTCACTATGGGGTCATGTAGAGGTGTTACGGTAGGTTCACGGTAGATGGGAGAAAATCACGAAACTGATCGAAACTTGGTACACTGGGGTTATTCGGGGCGCCGATAACGAATATGACGTGCAGATTATACTGTGGTGTCATCTGACGGGGTTACGGTAGGTTTACGGTAGATGAATTAAAGCGGTGGAATTAGCCGAAATTTGGTACACTGGAGTTATTCGGGATGCAAATTACGGACAATCTATCTGCTACATACACTGGTGACATATGGAACGATTACGGTAGGTATACGGTAAGTAAGACGAAATCATGGAAGGGCAAACATTGCCCGGAGGATTTATTCTGTGCGCAATCCTAATAGTCAATTCTTATCATTGCGTATGCCATCCGCTTTCTCTATTGTTTGAAGCTTTCGGCTGCGCAAAAAACCAATCCTCGTGATGAACCATCACTGCCCGATAGAAATGGAAGTGAGTGAGGCTTTGGTATAACTTGTTTTGACCTGCTAAGTGTTAATGGAATGAGTGAGTACATTATGGCAAAGCAATCTTAGGGTTCATGGGTGTGTCATGGTCTAGCGGTTTAGTGATAGGATCTTTACGCTAGACCATACAGGTTCGAGTCCCTACTTTAATGTCGCTTTTGCAGCAAAGTGCTTAACAGCTCCTCAAAGCAAAACTCCGAGCTTGAGAGTTGGAATTCGGAATTACGAAAGCGGAACTCAGAGTTTCAATAAGCGTAACTCAGAGTTTCAAAAGCGGATCAGAGTTATCTCAGAGTTAACGTGGAGCTTCAAACTCGGAGTTTCGACCAGATTACTACCGACCCTGATTTTCAGATACTGCAGGTGTCCAAAAATTATGTATACACTGTTTGATCATTAATACCCCTTTTTCCAAGAAGCCTTTAACCCACCTTCGGATACCATTTTGTAGATCTGGCTTCAACGATTTGCATTGTGGAGCGAATCACCAAGCACTCTTCATTACTGTAAAATCACGGTAGGAACTCTCAGCTTACAGCGTCATAGTGGATTAATCGTGTTTCAAAAAAAGTTTCCAAAAAATCCTAAAAGTGGTGTGTCAGGTTTTTCACGCGCGCTGATTTAATTACCTGACATTTTAGAGTCTGCAAAGCTTTCTAAATGGTGCAATCACAATTTTAAGGAGCATTGCCAAAACAGCTACTGCGCCTTACTTGACATAACTTATGAAAGAAGCATTGCGGTAAAGTGCAAACTTCATATTTGGTTTTATCGGCTCGAATTAGCATAGCATAAGAGTTTTCAGGTTCTTTGGTTTGCTTTTGAGGTAGAATAGGACTCCTTATGGCTCACAACCTTTCATGAAGTTTCTACCGTAATCATACATTAATGAAGAGAGATGGGTAACTCGCTCCATACTGTATATCTAAGTTGAAGCCAGCTCTACAAAATGGTGTCCGGAGGTAGGTTACAATCTTCTTGAAAAGGGAAATTAATGATCAAACAGTACATGCATACTTTTGGGACACCGTGTATAATGTCGGTAAAAAGTTATATAATCTTTTCGAACCATCTGGAAACCGCCAAAATAAACGAATAATTCAAGCTGTATCCGATGCAGAGTTTCCTTTCCTAGACACTTTAAAATCACTGACTTCTAAAGAAATCGCATGACACGTAATTCCACTAAACTGATCTGATCAAAGAAGTCTCCAAATTGAGGTTCCAAGACTCATGATCCCCTAACTTTGGAAATTAATGAGTTTCGCTTTGAAATATGAAGGTTTTGAAACTTAAGGTAAGCAGTGAGTACCCGTATAATTGAGGAATCTGGTAATTTGTCTGCGAATGCCTCGTGTATCAAAAAGAAAAGATAATGTTAAAAACAAAGCAAGTCCATCAAATGATTGCTGCCTGATTTGTTCACTGCTTCATATTTAGGGTTTGTATGAAGCAAAACACAAGTACATTTCCTAGTTATCGCAGTGTATCTGTTTTGAAACTCTTAGAAAACAAGGTAGAGAGCTGCAAAAATAATTTGGCCTGCCTAAGGCTTGTCCTATCTGCTGAATATTGAAATTCTTTCAAAATCTCAGGCAAAAATTCTGAAAATTTAGCGAGACCTAAGTCAAGTAAAAAGGAAGGGTTGTGAACAATTTGAATGTAATTGTAACTGATTTCCGGCGATAAACTTAGGGCTCGTTGTGAGAGTCTCTTCGTCAACATAACGTTGAAAAAAGAAACTGCATCGAATCACCAAAATTTTGAGTGAATAAAAAAAGAAAACTGCACCAACCTGAAACCGATAGATACTTTCTGAACAGATAGGGCGTAAAGCTAGTGCTGTCCCCCCTTTTGCTGACAATTTACATTTTCAAGCAAAATAAACGTGCTAACCCACCTAAAATGGTTGTGAAGGTCTAGCGCTTTTCTTCTTATGCATTCATTCATTTTATTTGTGCTGCAAATTTGACGTCCTGTAAAAAAATATTAGCTACAGGGCACTTGAACAGAAATTTTGGCATACGTGGTTCGCATCTGTATCGCCGGACTCCCTCGGATTTCATTACCTAAAAATTCAGTCTGAAGCAAATGTGCAGATGCTTGAAAATCGGACAAATTGCAAAATCGAGATATGGATTTTAGCTAGTATTTTTTGCATATAAACGTCTCTGACAATGTTATCTTTTATTAGACTGTAAGTAATTCAAGCAAAAAAAGTTCCTGTTCATGGGGTACGCATTTTATAGAAAAAAACTTGCACTTACGATTATCACAAGCATAAAAACTGTAAGTTTTAGATCAATAAGCATTGCAGAAGTTGGAATGGAGATAAATTTATTAAAACTGTTTGTCTCTTACTTACAATCACATTTTCCAAAAGCGGCAGTGGTTGCACTTATGCTTTGAATTGTTTGTTGATTGATTGCTTGCACACCTCAAATGAAATTTTCCGTTTGTAGCATTTTTAGTGCTCAATTCTAGCGGCTTGCAAAAGCAACGATCAGCAATTCTCTATTCAAATTTCACATCAATGTGTAGTTGTAAGAAGAGAGTTTTTGTGCTAACTAGAGATTATCGCGTTTAGAAAGACGCTTTGCTCCTACGCCTGTGTGAGCATTGAAAACAAACACGAAATAAACAATACAAACACCATAAAAACACAAAAATAAACAATGACAGGATAAAAAACACAAGGCACGCAAAAAAAAAAGAAAACAAACGCACACAAAGTTTTGTTAAAGCATGAACCTACTTTTGACAAAGATATCAAAGTATCAATGAGATTTTTGGCCGAAGAACCTTGGAGACCTAAAACAGCGTTATTTGCAATCCTTTTGCTGGTAGGGTGACAGTGAGAACTCACTCAATGTCGGTTCCAAAATGTCTATGGGGAGAGCGAAAAACTTTTAGACTAAAATCACGGGAGTGACATCAGCCACAAGCAACTGTTTTGATTTGACTACCCCAATCTTTCGCAAAATTCAGATCCCCATTATCAGGAGATTAATCGCAGCTTGCTCTTGGAAAATTTCTCTGCAAAAAGTCCTCTTCTTAAGATTTCTGCTTTTTAGAGTAGCTGCATATTATAATCATGCACACCACTTTCACATCCCGACCATTCTTGGGGAGCCAGCTTTCCTCTCCCTTCCTTTCTCATCCCAATTGTCCCGCCCAGTAGCTCCACTCACTCCAGTTTGACAGCGACTTGCTCAAAGCGAATCACTCAAATGTCTTGTCCATTCCTCGCTTCTAGAAAAAAAAGTTTAGAATAAACAATTCATTGAGGTGCAGTCATAGACTTAGCACAGGCAGAGAGTGTAGGGACAAAATTGAGTTATTTTTCCACAGTTTAAGCCTTTTAGTGCCTTAATTTTCCAGTTAAACCACCCCTACTTAGGCGCAATGAGTGTCATGCAGTCACGGTTTTCGCGCCCCAATCACAATATGAGCAACTTGTCGCAATTTTTTATGCTTTCAAGATTTCGTGGCTGTCAACGTTTCTCCAGTGTTCTCAAGTTTCCCTTAACGTTTTCTATTTGGGTCGACAAAATGGCGAAGAATATGGAGAATACCAGTTATCGCAAAATTGACGTGGATGCGTACGATCCAGAAAATTACGACGAGAACGAGGATGGTGAGTCATTGCGTATGTCTTTCTGTTTCAATATATTTTCCTTTCCTTTTTATCTGTGACATCTTCAATATGGGTACACAACAGTGGCGTACCCAGGATTTCGGCTCGGGGGGGGGCGCGACAAAAATTTTTTTCTAAAGAAGGTGCATGGCGTTAGCCACGCACTCCGAAAAATTTTTTGGGGTGTTTCTCAAAACTTTTGCGGGTCCCCGACCCCTAAAATCTGGAAAAAGGGGGCGTGGCGTTAGCCACGCCCCCGAAAAAATTTTTTTTACAAGGCTAATTTGATTTTTTAAAAATTTGAAAAAATTATTTTTATTATTTACAAAAATAAACAAGTCACTTGCACATTTTTATAACCCATATAAGTAACTTTCAAAAATTTCGCGACCCATTCTCGGGGGGGGGGGCGCGCGCCCCCCCCCGCCCCCCCCCCCCCCTCGGTACGCCACTGGTACACAACTACTCGTTTATCTTTGAAACAACGCTAAGGCCATATGCCGTAACAATTTTGATCCACATTTTCATCCACAAACAAGATAAACCTCAAAATATTGCGTAAACTGCCTGCCTCCATTTCATGATGTATGATCGTCTCCACGATTCGTGTAGAGGCGGGTTGCGGACTTTCCCTGATTTTAAGGTTGAACTTGTTAAACCTCCACGTCATGGCATTGTTTTTCGTACTCTCTCGCTATCAAAAACCGCCACGCTTTGAGTTGGCAAAACCCCGCCTCTACACGAATCGTGGAGTCGATGATAGAACTCGATATCATATTCGATGATATCGAGTTCTACCTATGGCAATATCTTATGTCCTAAAATAAAGCATCACTGGTGCATTACCTTTAGTGAAAGCACGTCAGATAATCCTTCTGTATAAAGGTACGGCGAATTCTGAAATTTTCCTTCTTGTATCGTATGGCTGCTGTAACCTCGCGAAAACAAGACCTCACCATTCGGAACAAATCTAGTCTAATATATAAAGAAACGTAAGCGCAATTTAAAAATGTACAGATAGCGGGAAACGCGTGGCGGTCGAAGCGAACGCTCTTGCAAATAGCACCTTTAGATTACTGGTTCACTAGTCTAACATACAAAGAAACGTAAGGTATAGTGTGGACCCCGGCCAGCTTCTCATAGGTACCTCCGCGACGCGTGCGCAGCGCATGCCTTTAATGCGCTTTTCGTTTCAGCTCTACTGGATTTTTTTGCTTTTCTCTCTCAAGTGACTTTGTTCTATTCTGTAATGTCTCTCTTTTAGGTGCAGAGAACTCACGACGACTGCCGTTGAGGAGTTTTTACGAGACTTGACGGCCTTGAGCGCTTTTAATCAAGTTCTTTTTTTTTTCTCGATAGTGCAGATTTGAATTAGTATATCTGTATTTGAATTATCTGGATTTAGCATTCGGATGTGTCTACAATGGCTGCTACTGCAGAATAAGCCTGTATGTCCGACTGATTTTTATTAAGGATGTTTCTAGGTTTTTTTTAATGCGCCGTTAAGGCTTTTCTTCTAACATTCTACTCTCGATCCTAAACTTTCTAGTTTTTGTGGCCGCAGTAAAAGTGTTCCACGACTTCTTCTGGTTCCTCTATCACCCATCATCGTAATGTCAAACTAGCCTCAATGAGACTGACTAAAATCTAAGCGCTGGAGGAAGTTATAAACGTTCTCTTAATGCTTTGGCCTTTCTCAAGTTTCATATGGGAGTTTCCACTTCTCTTCTCAAACCTTATTCAAGCAGAAATGCTTTCGTGTTCGTAAATGAAATGAGAAGCTTCCAAGTCGGGCCCGCGTTGCGTATGCGCCGCGGTGGTACCTATGAGAAGCTGGCCGGGGTCCATACTATAGGTGCCAGAGTAAGCGCATATTCTGTTCATGGGGTCCGGCGCAGAATTGACATCTCTCACCATGCTGGCGTCAATCCAAGTGACGTCAATTCTGCGCAGGACCCCAACTTGATCTGCAAATAGCGGGAAACCGCGGCGCGGTCTCGAAACGCGCGGATGCGATCCAGCACCTTTAATTACTGGTTCACTAGTCCTTCTGTAGTCAGCATAACCATGCGTGCGAAGTTTGAACTGAAATTGTTTGCTTTATAAATTGTGGGCTATACCACGTTTGCAGGTTATGAAGACATTGCACATGCATTTAGTTTTTTAATCTGTCTAGAATCTTGTAAATTTAGCTGGAGAAACACCTGGACTCGGCCCAGATGAGCGCACCGTGACGTCTTTTTTGCAAACGAACAGGTTCGAGGACGCTTTGCACGCATCACTTCTGAACCCCCCTCTCAAATGCAAAAATCAGGTAAAGTTCTTTCTCAACTTCTTCATTGTTATTGTCATCCCTTTCGTTTACTTGTGAAAGAGCGTTGTTGCTGCAAGGTAGCATACGTGACAATTTGTCTGTTTGCATTACATTTATGTCTTCGCCATTGCTCAAAACCACCACTTTACAGTCGAGTAGATTTCCCGCTTGATTTAGTGTGCTTCCACAGAAGGTGAAATGCGGTAAAATTTGCGTAAACAGCGTAAACACAGTTTCGACTGTGGCGCTGGCCAATTGCGCGCGCAAAATGTCGGCGGTACTGGCCTGGCTACTTGTTCACGCCCAAATTTCACCGCATTTCACATTCTGTGCAAGCACACTATATTAAGCGGAAAATCCCCGACTGTACTAGTTTTTTTTTGCTTTGCAACTTTTTGATGTGAATTGGTTTTCTATAGTACTAGCTGGCTTACCCGGCTCCGCCGTATGTTCCGAATAGAAAATTCCATTTCTGAACCGATCCGGACCAAACTTGGCACACATACCCTTCGGGCCCCGGCGGGTGTCACAGTCCACTTTTCGTTATCGATCGATGTCGATTTTATCGATTTTTTGCAAAATTTGCGCTACGGGGCTGGGAGTTGGCAGAGGGGGGGTAATCGAGCATGCTGGTCACCCCCGTGGGGCATGCTCGATTACCCCTCTGTGCCAAACCCCAGCCCCGTAGCTCAAACTTTGCAAAAAAATCGATAAAATCGATAAAAGTAATGCACGATTTCAAAAACTAATATTGTCTTCGGAATCCCCATGCTCGATTACCCCCCTGTGCCAACTCCCACCCCTGTAGCTCAAATTTTGCAAAAAATCGATAAAATCGATATCGATCGATGACGAAAAGTAGCCTATGACACCCGCCGGGGCCCGTAGTGTATGTGTGCCAAGTTTGGTCCGGATCGGTTCAGAAATGGAATTTTCTATTCGGAACATACGTACAGACAGACATGCATACAGACAGACAAACAGACATTCAGCTTTATATATAAGATAAGGTATCTGCAGGCTGTGAAAGACAAAGCCACGATCCTTGTGGCAAAAGTACTTGGTTCTTTCAAGTCCACTGAGATCGACGCCGTCGTAAAGGTAGTGATTAAAGCAAAATCTATACGTTTTACTGCAACTTTGCATGTTATAGAGGCTTTCCAACGATGAAGGTGATATTCTCATGAAATACGTGTATAAAGCTATGGAAATAACTCCAGAAAATGCTCTCTGTCAAACTTTGCTCACATGGCATTCATTGGTAAGTGGTGATTCTCGCAGTTTGTACGAATCTCATAGCTACAATCTCAGTTGGTTGCCCGTTTTGGTCTTGGATCAATCATACGCGTGTTCTCTGATAGGAGTCGTCTCTGAAGTAATACTTTTTGAAGTATGCTACCATATTGCAGTTACTCATTGAATAATTCACTTGATATCATTTGTTTATGCTACTTGAATGCTTTATACCATGCATGGACCTTTATAAAATCAAAATATTTATTACTACTGATTATACTGACTGATTATATATGATAAACTTCCAGATGTAAGAGCAACAATGGTTAACACATTATCACAATTGACGCAGATGGAAAGACAACGACTAGAATAAGTGCATGAACTAAGAGAAAACATTCAAAGCAGGCACTCATCCTTGCCATTTATTGCTAGTCCCGATTTGAGATTTTCTATAGTGCGCCACGAAATCGAAGTTGTCATGAGATGACTGGCACAAAGTAACAATAACAAAACACCAATTGACAAACACATTGAAATAAGATACTGCGATATGCTTAGGCCAATGTCCAACCAACTACCGTCGTCCTTGAGTTGATGGAAAAAGCACTAAAAATGTAACTTCTACTCTGAAAAAAAAAACAACTTCGGAAACTTGGCCAATATTCATAGTTTATTGCTTCATATTGTTTAGAAGAGAGGAGAATCTACATGAGCAATCAGTCGCTAAGACTTTTACAAACCGGTTCCAATCGGCTTATGGTTTTTGGCGTGCTTCTTTGAAAGGTTCCACTGCGATAGGGGGGGGGGGGAGATCACAATCAGAAAAAGCTCCAGCTTAAAGACAGTGTCCAGGCAAATCTGAGCATATGGGTTTTTTTTGCCTGTAAACTGTTGAGGAGGCTCTAGCTAAGGCACTGGCCAAACCGCAGCGCAAATTATTTACGGCTGAGAAATCCATCCACAAACCTCCGCTGCTGCGCCGTGACCGTCTATGATTGGTCCCAGCGCGAACGGTGATGAAGTGAGCGAAGTCGTTTTTGGGTTACGGTCACGGCGCAGGCGCGGGGTTTTCGGGGACGAATTTCTCAGCCGTGATTGAACAATTTGCGCTGCCCCTTGGGCAGCGCCTTAGTTAGGACCCCCTCATCGATTTCCAGGCGAAAGAGCCATGCGACCAAAGTTTCCTGGACACTGCCTTTAAGTCGACTGCGCGAAAACGCCCGGGTCGCTGTAGGCTGAACGCGAGCGAGCGTGCCTGCGCGGCTAACGAGACTGGCGCTATGACTAGACTATGCGCTATGCTACCACTACTCATGCTGGCGAATGCCAATGCTAGACCGCAAGCGACACGCTCACAAGCTAAAACCCGGTCAATTCTGCGCTTTGTTTAATCACTAGACACTGTCCTTGCTTGTTGTACATGTATATGATATCAAAACAAAGTATTATAAATGTCCGCTAACCATGGCCATGAGATCCGTGATGATTAAAACAAGACATGACAGTCGCTGAATAGCTTCCTTATTGAATCGAAGCGCTGCTGAGAACAGCAGCGATACCATCAAAAGAGGTATGAGCAGTTTCAATACCAGAAGAGCCGCCATCGTAAACGGACTAAATTCATTTTATTTGAGAATATTTCAATTCTTCCAAACTAGGCTCACCTGAATACGGATATGAATCTTCCTAGGGTTGATGGGTTGAAAGAGTTCATGGACGCGAAGTTACCAGTTCCAAAAAGAGATGCTAATACAAAGCACACACAAACCACGGCTCTCCTCATCTCCGTGCTCGTTACTCGAGTTGATTTCGATGCACAAACTAGAAAACAAAACAGTTGTTTAGATAAATTCAACCCCTAATAATGTCTAACTTGGATCCACAGAGTAATCCGCTCTGAGATGGAGAAACTCGACATCTGACAAGTGGCCAAACTCAAAGCGTAGGAACAGAAAAAGCAGTGGAAGAAATAGTAAGGTGAACATCGATTCATATGCTATAGAGAGCAGCGAGAACGGCACGACGAGCGAACCTGGAAGTGGAGAGATTTCGCAGCTGATTTAGCGCATTGATATTAGAAATGAGTTCCCACTTATGTGCCAAATGCTTTTGTCGACAATGGTAGGCGGGGAAAACAGCGGGACTAGCAGGGACAAAGGTAACGAGCACCAAGAAACTAGTCGTAGTAAAGCAGGTGGCTGCAAATAAACCTAGACCTTATCTGTACAAAGAATGCATAGGTTGTGTACAATTTGAATACGCCAGAACATTTGAAACATGAGCTGCGTTGTTAATGTTGAATTTTAACTTGAATTCTGCGGAGTCAAACAGCAGAATTTTAAATGACTCTTCACCTGGACCACATAAATTGAACATAAAAAATAAGAAAGTCGAGCAAAATAGATGCAAACTTTGGTAGCAAAGTAGCTTCCCTTTCGACTCAGAAGGAACAAAAGAGAGAATTTCCAAACAGTAACACATCTACAATAGAATCTGAAAAGAGAAAAGGAAAAGAAGTACCTTTTGAAACACGTAGCTGGAGATTAGTATCAGTCCTGCGGTAACGAACAACATTCCCGAAAGTCTGCACAAATCTTCTTGTTTCCTGACCAACATCGGATTCCTCGCCAGATATCGCAACGTCGCCGCCAATATTGCAGGCGCTAGTATGCACAATACTTGAAGCTCAAATCTTCCAACATTGGGAAAGAACGGAAATGGCAAGAGCAGTGCGCAACATAAGCGCCACGTTTTTGTCCTGCAAAATAAGAATCAATACAATAGCTACCAAGGGCCACACTGACCATTCTCCGACCACTTTCGAGTCGTAAAGGCTTGGCAAGAACATCAGCAGAAGAAATACCGCAGCAAGGAAGCGACGGTCCATGAAAACGAGGACAAAAACGAAAAGTAGCACACCTTCAAATGATGAAAATGTGGTACGACTATCAAAACGACTAATTTGAGTGAATAAGATTTCGCCAAAAAAACATGGGAAATAAAAATAAAACAAGTGAAACTATGGAAGAACAACGTCTACAAAACTCACTTGTTCCTAGCAGTCCGAGAAAAGGATTGAGCAGGAAGGAGAACGACATAATAGCATAGTTGGTTATACAGTCTTTGGCAAAATCTCGCACTTTCTCAGTGATGTTCAACAAATTTTCCACAATTGAAAACAAGTACACCGGTAAAAGCAGGTAAACGAAGTTTGTCACTGGTAATCTGCAGTATAGACAGAATAACAGTGTAGCGGCAAGAAGTACCGAGAAAACTTTGTTTGGGACAAGAGTTTTCCTGGTAAGTAGAAGTACAGCGCGGTCCCTGAAAAAAAATCAATTTTTAGCAGTGATAAATAGTGCAAAATTGTTATACCTTGTCAAATAACACCACACTAGCGCTATCCAAGCAATAAAGCAACAGCTAACGCCTGCACCAAGGAATGCGCGATCATAACGATGATAATGGAATATGGCCTTCTTTATCAATCCGGCATTCTCAACGAATAATGCCGAAGCAACAGCAAATCTCCTAAAGCGAGTTTCATTCTTGTAAAGAGGCCATGCCTGCAAAAAATGCAAGTTTTACCGCGCTCTTGCCAACTTCACAATCTCCGCCTCAAGAGCTTGAAGAGCTCGTAGTCCAAATTGGTCAAAATCTGAGAACCATAAACGCTTCGCTTTTTCAGCTCGCAAAGCCATAAACTGTTCTTTGAGCTAAAATGCAGTGATAATAAGCTTCACCAAAGACATGTAAGGAAAACCAAAATTTCAGATACCTCCAAGAAGTTTGAGAATGCGCTTCTGAAGAGGTACTTCGGTGAAACATCAAGCACATGCAAGGGCAGCACACCTAGCGAGTTCACTGGGACAGGAATGCCCAGAAGAGAAGCGCATAACGGTGTAATATCCACCTAAACGAAGAAGCAAATGCTCATGTAATAAAAAGTCTATTCGTATAGTGTAAAACTTATGACCACCTAGTATAAATAGTGCATAAATGAAAAAACGAGATTTTGAGACAAATGGCAAAGTAAGATATCAAAAATACGCATGATTTGATGAGACAACGCATGATTGAAGGGAAAAAACTATTTCACTAATATTTGTAAGTTGTTCGAAAAGCTAAGCTATACTAATTTGTCACCTGTTCGATACTGGACCTTATGCCTCCTTTTTGCACTCCAGCGCCCCATGCGACAAATGGTGTTAGCACCTCAACAGTCATATGATATCATAAACAGCGAATCGTAAAGCTGTATTTAATTAGGAGATACCTCTTCATCACTTCCTGCCCCATGTGATCCCCAATCAGTCATTCCATGGTCAGCTGTGAAGATCCACGCTGTAGCCTGGTCACCGAAGTAGTCATCAAAAACTCGTTGTGTGCTTTCAATGCCGCGATCCACGACTAAAAGATTTTGGTCAGCTAAACATCAGTGAAAACAATGCTAGTGCAACCAACTTCCAATATTCTCGACATATTCCTTGGAATAAGGCTTGTTCCCATGTCCATTTGTATCTAGTCCAAGGAGATGAAGAAAAAACACATTTCGATCTTGTCGCAGACTTTGCCACAATTGTGTGTCATTCTTTGCTTTATTGAAAAAGGCCTTAACAAAATGACATCCAAATAAGTAAAAATGAGACGTGGAAAAAGTTTAGGCTACTGACCTCTACATGGTCGAATACCCACTCATCCAACTTGTAAGCTTCATTACTGCCAAAATCTTCATCATTCTCATCATACATGAAAGAATGTGCGTTGGGAGAGTTGTCGAAGAGCTTCACAATATCTGGACTTCCCCACATCCATGCTTCTCTCGACCTGATTTGCTCTGATTAACTGTACTTGAAAATGTCGAAAAGAAAACGTAGCATATAAAACTTGTTACAAAAAAGGTTTGCAAAAATAATAGCATAATCCGCACCTGTTGAAAACGCTATCGAATGGAACAGGATTTTGTTTCCATCCTCGTGCCACTGCGCTGACATCTTCGGTAAATCCGGCAAAAATAGCGACGTGACCAGGGCGAGACTCAGTCGGCACATGCGTTCTAGATGTGCCGGATATACCCTGCAAAAAAGCTAAACAACTGTGCCAGCAACATAGTGAAAGAAGTTGCAAGTAAGCTGTAAGCCAGAACTCTATGAGACTAGTGAAAATCTGCAGATTTCTCAGTGATAAATTCAGAAAATTTTTGGTAACTTTTTTTGAGTTCTCTCCTTGTGCTAATAAGATGAATGATGAATAAAAAATGACTGAAGCTGCAACTATACTTAGTCCTGAACCGGAGCGCAACTCTCGCTAAACGACGCGCATGACACTAACACGATATAATGCACGCGCCGCGTTGGATTTCGCGTACGCGACGCCAAATGCCAATTGCGCAACGTTTAGTGCGCCGTTGCCTCCGATGGAGGATAGACTCGGAGTATAGAATGGCTGCAGCTATAAGATGTAAGTACGAACCTTGCGTCCTCTGATTATCGAATGCAAGAAAGGTGATCTATCAGGATTTCGTGAGAAGGTATCCAAACGCAGACCGTCTAGAAAGGAGAATTTACCTCACAAAAATTACAAAACCTTGAAGTTTATCAAACCTGCAGTGATCACAACTAAACGTTTGGCTGGTGCCTCTTGTGTAGTAATCTCATGCGCTGGCACATTGTTCACTATGGGCGATGTATAGTAGATGTCGAATATTGAGTATACCAGGATCAAATGGATCAAAACCCCGGCACATGCGAGGCGCCATGGCATCTGTAATGTTACAAATGACCTTTTGCAAATGAGCCATAATGGTTGTAAAGGATGAGTCATACCAGAAAAACAGCTCGGTACGTCATAAGCGAAATAACAAACTGTTTGTCTCACAGACAGCGGAGAAAAAACTTGAAATGGAAGAGTACTATAGCATTTCAACAAAACTATTGCTTGTTGACCATAACAAAAACCCAAAGACTATAAATTTCAGAGAAAAAAACTTTTTAAGGGGAACTGCTCGGGCAAATCTGCAGATCCACGGATACCTGTTTTTCTTATGTGCAAACTGATTAGGAGGCCTTAATTAGGTATATAAGCGCGCAGGCGGTGGCAGAGGAGTTCTTTATCTTTATCTATTACATACGAGGTGCACCAAAAAATAGTGAGTAAAAACACCAAGCAATCCACACTACAAAACAGGAAGTAATAAATAAGAATATCATTACACTCAAAAGCCTCAGATCCATTTGACGGTATAAGACGGCACTAATATAATAGTAATAACAATTATAGTGTAGTATATATTATACGGCACGTATTTATATTCGGCTCTTAATTCTCGCCCAGCACGTTTCTTTCCTATGAAAGAGTCTATAGGCCAACCAGAGCAACTACGGTATGGCCAAGAATCCAGAATGCATTTCCAATCACAGACGAGTTCCATAACTCGCCCTTGGGCAACGGCATAGAAACTCAGTCACTTTCCACCCGAACCAAAAGACTAAAAAGTTTTCATAGTAGTGATACTAGGGAAAAATCCTGTATTACAACTGCCTTTCTGGCTTGCTACCATCCCAAAATCTTTGTAAAACCAATAGAAGCACTTAGTTAATCAAACAACAAGAAATAAAGTGCAAATATAAAGCACAATAATAAACTAGCAGAAAAGTACAAAGCACCCAGTCTCTAACACAAAACAACTGCCAGTAGCTAGAACAAAGTGTACGGAAAACCGAGGAAGAAGCATTAGTTAGCGGAGAACCTGTGTAAAGTAGAAAAGCAAAAGTAATATGGAAAGAACAACCTGGCCAGAAGACAGCTGTTCGCTACAGATTGCTTGCACGCAATTATGCACCGAAAAAGGTTGTGCAAATTTGCGCGCGGGGGGATTATCGACGGCGACTGACTTTTGATTTGCTCATCTTTCTTATTTACACTTCTTTCAACATTTTTGTTCTTTATCAGTTTTGCAAGCACTCAGATCTGGAAACTTCCTCTAGCCATCTAGAGAACTTTAAGATTCTTGTGGTAAGTGTTTATTTCACGAACTTGTTAGAAATAGACAGAAAAGCTTAAATAACAGCTTCTCTGAGAAAGTTAGCTGTTGTCTGCAATGCTCCAAGGCCCGACTTTTCCATTTCAGATGCAGGACCTTTTGGATCCAAATAAATCCAGTCAAGAAAGCGTAATGATGGATTGTGATCAGCCTGGGGCTGCTGCGGAGTCTCCAGAGAAATTACGACCAAGAAACAAAAAGAAGTCGACCATGTTGAAGACGGTCTGTTCTCCTCAGTCACTTTTGTTGCAATAAACTTTTTTTCAGGTCGAATTGAGCAATTTTTTGGTGGACAATGAACTTCGTTCGGCCATTGGAATGATGAAAGTTAGCAACAGACAAGTAGTTTTGGCTCAGCCGAAAGCCCAGGCTACTAGTCAGGGTCCTACACATAAGGGCATCCGTAGAGAAAAGAAGCCGACTACTACTAAGAAGGTGGTTTGAGATCTGCATATTTGTAAGCGTATCTGCGAATTTCAGATCGTTTTAGAGGCACGGAAACACATTGAGAAGGAAGAAAATAATGTCGAGTTGACCTTTATTCCCACTCCCTTGGATGAATGCGTTATTGAGCTCTTGAAAAAGCTCAAGAAACAGGCGAATGCTGCCCATAAAGCTAATCCGATCAGGGTAGGTGAGTCTCGAAATTTTAAGATTCAAGTCTATTCTCTTACCTACTGAAAATGTTAACCCTCTAATGTTGCGAAAAACGAGTCTACTCTTTGAATGACTTGGCTTCAAACATGCTGTTCATGTTTCATATGTGGTGAGAACCAGAAACATGTCTTCATCAAAGGTTCAGTCTGAAGATGTCTGTAACGCTTCGGTCAGACTTCGCTCAAAAGCGCCTAAAAACACTAAAAAGCGCCCAGATTTCTCTGACCTCTCCACTGCCTCCATCTCTCCTCAAACAGAAAGTAAAGAGACTTTGTAGGAATTTAAGCGCTTTTGGGCTCTTTTGAGCGAAGTCTGGACCGGGCCTAAGTGCGCTGACGCATGGATTTTCTGTTGAGCTTGTCAGACGTATTTGAGGGCTTGTAATGTTTCGTATCGTGCAGCCATTTGTGACTCAAAATGTGAGCTTTCACACTATGCGTGGAAGCTGACGACGCCTTTACTAGTAGCTTTTCAGTAAAGCATTTTCTACCGTAGCAAACTGTAAAAATGTGTAATACTAACTAATAATATCTCATCAAACAGGGTACAAAAAAACAAGGAATTACTGGAAATGAGCAGGTCTGATCCTTCGACTCATGAAGTAGCGCACGCGCTGTGCGAAACCCATATCAAGTTATAAGTGACTTGAGTATATATGCTTGAAAGGTTGGAGTGAACGCTTGGTGTAGGAGAGGTATTCTTGACGTTGGTTGGACGCAATTTTGCACCGGAAGCTTTAACCCTAATATATATTGCAGTGCAATACGTTGCATATATATGGACTGGTTTTTTGTTTACTTTGTAACTAATTCACTGGTCTCACAGCTTCACCTTCAGGAAGATTTAGGCTCGATCCAAGCGCACTTTTATCTGCGGAATCCATGAGTGTTTGAAGCACATCCAAGCAGACAACGTGAAATGTGTCTTACTAGCTCGAAATATGGATGCTGAAATGGAAGGTGGGTGTCTAAATGTCTGATTCGTTTTTGCATTGTAGGAAACGTGCAATGTCTTTATTATATTTTGTTCTACATCTGCTAAAACTCAGCATCATGATTCGTGTACTTGTTCTATTGCATTCTGCAAATATCTTTTTGAAGGTACATTACTATGGAGACAAGATATCCATTATCGTATGACAATGTCCTTTCAGTCTTCACAGCTCATCTTGTTTGTTAACGCATGCAATCCTTATGCTTTCAGGAGTCACGCTTCTACAAAGCATTCGTGATGAATGTGGAGCTCGTGGTATACCCATTATTCATGCGTCGACGAAACGCTTGCTGAGTCGTGCGTTGGAGAAATTTCCATATACGAATGTGGTAGGATTGCTTCGTTTTCAGGGTTTTGAGGTCAGTTTTTGTCTTTCTGTACAGAAATAACTTCTATTACTCGAACTCAGTCTATTCGATTTGTTATTTTCTTTCTTTGAGAGTTCATTCCCATTATCTAAATTACACGGTAAATTACACGGCTGATCGAACGTTAATAATTTTACCTTAATGCTGTCACCACGTGCTCATTGAATCCTATTCAGTTCGCAAAAACGCGTTTCTAGGAAATCTACGACAAAATGATTTCGCTGTGGAACAGCAGTGACTCTCACATCAAATATCACAAGGATCAATCGTCGTTGTTCGCGTAATCTCACTTTCTATCGTCGTGGCAATTCCTCAAGGCAGTACAACTGAGTTCTTGTGAACAAAGCAGAGGTGCGTCGGAAGCACTGCAAGAGGTATGTACAAATTTTATCTTTTCATTTTCTATCCATGCATTTGCAATGCGAACGTTTTACGAATCTGAGTTCTTTACTAATCGAGGAAGATTTCCATCAGAAAACTTCATCATATGCAATCTACAAGAATCGTTGTGCTGCAGGTGCTACAATTTCTCTAATTTCAGTTTGCTAACAAGTTATTTATTTGCACTGCCTTGTATTAGCTTTACTATAGGAAAAGCCTAGACACAAAACGAAAAAGTACAGACACAAAGAAATTGTCCTACTGTTTTACTCTGTTGCAAATATCCTGATTTCACGCATACAAGGCGCACCTTCTTCGATTTTTCAAGGAAGCCGCTCACCTCTTCACTGTGTTTCGGAAAGCGATGCTTACGCAGTACGATTCTCTCAGGCTATATACAGCACTGGATAGGGTGTATAGGGTCGCGAAGTTCTTGGGCGTATTTTGACTGCTCGATTTTGGATAAAAATCCTTTGCGCATTGTACGCTTGAAATTAGGGTAACTGACTTCAGTCATGGGTGAAATCGAGTTTATTTGCCTTTTTTCGATGTGAACTAGTAAAAACTCACTTTTCGTCACTTTGAGCGTAATCCTAAAGAATATATCTGTTGAGTATCTTTGTTTTACTGAAGTTTTGCTCTGCACTATTCAGGCTGTTTCGAATGGAGGACGGGAACAATTATCCTGCCAGTCGATGTATTTATTGATGCCGACCAGTAAACCAGTTACGGGTAAATATGATATGCATATTCGAATCTAAGCATGTTGGTTTTCGCTATCTACAATTGTTTGAGAAATATTCGCATTTTCCATTGCTTTTTTTGTATCTTTTTGCAAATAAATTCTTGTCACTAAATGCTTGTTTTTTTGTCAGCGGTCTCTATCCATGACATTATCAAATGGAGCATTTGCTTTCTTTTCCTCAAACTCTCTTCTGTCGTGATTGTTTTTGCATGCTGCAATCATAGACGGATAGCCAAGGCTAAGTGTTACGTGTGTCAATTAGGCTTGCTTGCTTGCATAGTCAGTTTAGCAGAGAAGTGGCTATAGTGTTTTTGTGGCATGGAGGCATCTCTTAGGTTTTCAAAGGAAGGAGAGTTGTCGCATCTTACACGTTTGCATCGTCTCATCTATCGTCTCGCACTCGCTGACGCTTTCGTTAAGCTAATTTTTGATGTACGGAAAAATACGGAAAGAAGAATATGATGTAAATGTAATTTTTGATGTGAATTTGAAACATTTACGTCATATTCTTTTTTCCGTATTTTTTTCTGTATATATACTATTATTGCGTGCTTATTATCGATTTTGATATATTGAAAGTTAAGTTACTTCTTTACGAATTAGCTATTTCTTTTTCTATCTGCGTGATTTTGTATTCCTGCATTGTTTTGCAATCCTGCTGTTGCTGAAACTTTGAATTTTACCACTTTTATCTTAAATCACTTCGAGACGGACAAAGGCTTCGCATTTATCCGCGAAGATTTTTTGATTCGACTTTGCTTTTCATCAAAGACGGCTCTTATTCTCGGAGTGTGAAAAAAAGCTGCAATTGTAAGAATTCTTGTTTTCCATGTGCTATATCGACTTTCAAAGGCTATAATCAGTCAACAAAAATGCTTGTCGTCCAGCTCTCGCTTTAGTCGCTTTAGCATAAAGTCTCTTTTTTGCTAATCCATTAACGTCATTGCTTGTTTTTCTCAAACACATCGTCGACTACAGCACATCATAATTTCATCACTTCGCCTCTCCCTCAACAGAAGTCACATTTATTTTCTTCAACACTTGGTCACAGTGTAAGGCTGTTTAGCTAGTAATGCTCAGGTTACCTGTGGGTTGGGCTGCTACTGCTGCTCACCCAGGTTCTCATCTGCAATTCTTTCTTTCTTCAGTCTTTCAGCTGAAAAGCCATTTTCTCTTCTCTCATATCGCATTGGTTATTACATTCACAATTTTCTTCCGCATTTTCCCATCATAAAACTTCCTATATTCCATATGTCTTACATCAAAAACAACGTAATCGTACGCGTGGGAGGAAATTGGGCGCGTTTAGGATTTGCGCACTTCCGGCGTTATATTTTTAGCAAATTTATCGTCTATGCTCGTCGACAGTGTTAATAATGTGTTTTGAATATAATGTTCAGCAACGTTTTGACCATGAAACACACAGTTTGTTGACTCAAAAGTTCTCCTTTTTTAAACCTCGGCGTAATTGATGAATATTACTCAGTTTCTTCTTTGTTTTTTCTTTTTTCTTTTTCTTTGTTAGGCAGCACAATAAATTGTTGCTATAAAAACCTGTCGTGGCAAAGAAGAAACTGAGTAATATTCATCAACAGTTTGTTGAATTTTTTGGAGCAAGCGGGGTTGCACTGCATTTTCTTGCAAATGAAGTCATCCATGTGTTTCTTTTTGCTGCCAACTTTATCAAATTTGGAATTCACTTTCCTTTGGTCGACAACGCTTTTTTTAAAACTTTCCGGCTTTTTTACTATTGAACTTCTCACTTTCATTGATCTTGCTCCCTTGTTTGCTCTACAACCTATTTTTTGTCTTGTTTCCTTCTTCGCTTCGCCACCTATCTTCTTCGAAGCTATCCTGTTCAGTCGTTTTGGTAATTTTGATGCACTTTCTTTGATCACATCCTTTCTAAATTTTGAGGGAGGTTTTGGGAAAAGATCGGTTTTTAATTTTACGGTGAAATATTGATCGGATAATGTTTTACAGTCGTGCACTTTTGCAGGTTCAAGTTTAAAATCTCTTTTTTTACCAGCCGTTGTTTGGATTTAACTCGCTGAAGGAAGTAAAGTTGAAACTTATGAGATTTTTTACCCCAAGTCTTTATCTATATATATATATAAAAATGATGTTTCTAGCACTTACATCAGCGTTTATGTATCAGTAGCTGTTTACGAAAAATAATAACTACTATTTTACTTCAATTGCATCCATATTTTTCATTTGCCTGGGTTCTGCTGTGAACATAGCTGAAAAAGGAGTTTTTTGCATTTTTTTGCAAAAGCCGTCAAAATATGCGAATTCATCAATAGTGCTACCTTTGTAAAGTGCTTTTATTGTTCGATTGTGCAAATATCGCTTTTAAATTGGAATTTTATTTGATTTTGCCCAAGCGTTATTCTCATCATGTTTTATTCCTCGAAATATGCAGAATTGCGACATTCAGCCAAGTGTCGTTTTTCTTTACGTCTGCTCAGTCGGTGGGTGTTTTTAGGCTGTTTCGTAAAGAAATCACATTGTGAGAGCTGTGTTTTGCAGTTATTTGTTTGTTGAATGTCACAGAATATAATGCTCGATTTCCAATGCTGAGTCAATATTCGAGGACTTCTCTTCGAACTGCTTTCCACTTCGAAGAGTAACTTTCATATTTTCCAAATGAGACCATATTTTGGCAATTTTGTATCTCCAAATTAGCCTTAAACGCCTTCTCCGAGCTTGCTCAACATGTGCGTGTTGTTGTGCCGTTTAGTTATGTATCGAACCTTTTGCGTTTGCATCTCGTCTGCCCCACATGGGAATTGCCGCCGTTGATTACATTTCCCAAAACAATTGTTTACATCATTGCTCCAGCTTATGGCTTTGAGTTTAGTTTTCAATTTTTTTGTCTTGCAGAATGTTCTTGAATTTCTTGTCTCGCAGAATGTCTTTTTTAAGTATTGAAATTAATATATCTATTAGGTCGGTCCGAAATTTCGTGCCGTTTTCCAGAATTTGGGAGAATTTGAAAACTATTAGGCAAAGGACAATAGTAAGAGGAAGAGATTCTGCGTTTTTAGACTTATGCTGAAATTGTTTGAAGTAAAGATAGACAAACGCTTCAAAAAGAGTTTAATGCAGTATTTCTTCTCCTTTCTAACAGTTATGTTTTTGTTTGAATTCCTTTGATGTCTCTTGCTCAATAATTGTCAGGATCTTCAACCCATGGTTTTTGTCCATCCTAAGTTTGGCTATTTTTTCAAATTTCTTTCCAAAATTTTAGACTAGCTTTGTACAGAGTAAACAAAATGCAATAAAATACATTTTGGCATCTCTAGCTGCTGGCTTCTCTTTTTTCCTTTTAACCGCCTATCTGTAAGTGACAAGTTTGTTTACTGTTAATTCTCATTCATCGTAATCCACTTCTCAGGGTTTGTCTCAAGTATTGAAAAGTACAATTAGGTAATGCCAAATCTAAATTATACACTTTTCTCACATCGATTGAGCCATCGTCTCCGTTCTCCCTTTTTCTTTACTTTTTTGCGCACGCAAATTTTTCTGATTGCCTTCATAACTTAATGCTTCTACTTTTTGCAGTAACATGGTACATATATGAATGTTCAATATTTGATAATCAATAGCTTCTGACTTTTTATAGTAATATGGTGCTTACATGATTGTTCTATAATTCAATTCATGGTTGTTAATTATAATCTTCAAGTTGCTTTCTCAGTTCAAATTGGGTTTTTGTAGGTTTCAATAGTTTGAATTGGCATATGCATTATCGAATATCTCTTCAACGTAGCCATAAATCAGAAATACGAAATACCCCAGAGACTACGTCCCATCTTGTTGCGATTAGCTTTTTTCATCTTTCAAAAACAAGATTGGACTCACATCTTGTCATTCATGAATCATGATTCAAATTTCTTTCTTTTTCCGTTTTACCAGCATTTGTCAGGTTTTTATCTCAAAAATTGTAAGGGAATTGCTTTGGGCTGCTCCTTGCTTTTTTGACTCAGGGGGCAGTCTCACGCCCGTTTCTGTGTGTGTTTTTTTTCTAGAATTCCAATCATCTTAGTGCATGCAAAGCTTTTTTTGCACACTTACGTAGTTTGCAAAGTGTCGTAATCATCCAAGAAAAAATTCTGCGCTTATACTTAGGAAGAGTTTTTCACGAAAATTCATACAGTTTGTGAAATATCAAAACGCCTTATGCTTTGCTACAGCATCACATCTGAATTTCTTGCTTGTAAATTCTATGCTTTTTTGTTGTGCGAGGCTGGAAATCTGACCCATCCATCTTCATTTTCCTATTTTGTTACATCCTCGCAAATGATCGACGACTCTTGCATTTGATCTTCCTTCCACTTTTTCATTTCTTTTTGTTAGCACCGAGAAAAACTTCCTGCTGTTCCATCGATTTTCCTGCTCGGTGAAGTGTGACTCGCCATCTTTTGTATTGCAGATGTCTGACCTTGTATTAATTTCAGATAGGCTTTATTGTTCAGTGCCTTACGTCACTTTTCTTCTTCTGACGTGATCATTCTCCACATTCTTGCCCCTGGTAAAAATAGGTTGGCACAGTCGTCCTGTCGAATCCACCTCTTATATAGTCGTTTTCCGTTTTGTTGCTTTGTCAGATTTTCACGCAAATATTGAAAAGAAGTGCTTCTGAAGCTGCATTCTGATTGAATATCTTGAGAACAATTTTAGAGACTGAAATTTGTGTTTTTTTTTCTCGACTTTCTCGCTTACTACGCCTATTTTTTCCTCTTTCATTAGGTTAAAATCTTAGGAAAACGGTAGGGATCGAACCTATGACTTAGTATGAATTTTGGCAGGCTTTTTCACCTTCTATAAGCACTAATTTGCAGGATTTTTTCTTTGGCCTTGAGCGTGATTTATAGTGAGAAAGGAAGCCGAAATAATGACAGACCAACTTTTTTTCACTAGTTTATAAGAAAAGCAGGCTTTTTTCTATGTGACAATTACGCTTCACCCACACACTTCATACATTCGCAACCGCATAATGCAGGAAGCAAATGGAATTCAAAATGAAATGAAAGAAAAAGGGTTGCTCATAGAAACCGTAATCTAACCGCTTCAGACTCGTAGAGGTGGGTGTGAGATATGTACTGATAGTACTTTTATAATTCTTGTATGCTTGGTTTTACCTAAACCTCAATCTCACTCACGATAGTTAATTGTCAGTTTCGCTGCTTGCCCAAGATTTCTCCTTTAGGGACTATCGCTCTGAGATTTTCAATAGTCTGAAAATTCACAGTTTCCAGTTTTTGATAGATAGAAATAATAGCTAAATTCTGTGTTTACTGAGCAGTTCATAACAATGTCTTTTCCATTTTTAATCTGTCTTACTAATGTACAGAAACGATTATGCCTGGTATTTCCATAATCAAAGTTTGGCATCTTTGAGTCTTTTGATTTTTGTTCTGTTATTTGTGTCTTTTTGTGGTGTAGTGATTTTTGTTGTACTGGGCAGTTCATAACAGTAAGTTGGTACGTTTGTGTCAGTGGCGTTCCAAGAAATATTGTTCATGGAGAGAGGAAAAGAGGGGGACAACTTTTCTTTTGAATAATGGGTCTGAGCTTGACGTCAGCCATTCTCTTCAAAAAATATCGTGATGCATTCCGAAGTTCTCGCCGGCCTGTAATTCCGATCTTGAGACGCCTTCGAATTAATTAGAAGCCAATACGAGTTTTTGAGATAATTTTGTCTATTATTTTGATTGCTTACAAATATAAACGAGTCATTAGCACATCTATATGATAAACCACTTACAGAAATTTCTCCTCCCACCCCCCCCCCCCTTTGGTCCGCCACTGGTTTGTGTATAGGGTGTCTTTTTTTAGCCGTGTGTGGAAATTCAATGCTTTGAAGTCTACAGACCTTTTTGAACTGTCTAGTACATCACAAATCGACTATACAATTGTAGCCGTTGCTCGACTCGTGGGTGCATGTGGATCCGTAGTGTTGCGCCATTGAGTCGACTTCTACTGTCAGGCCTATCTGCCTCACTTGCATTACAACCTCAATCGTGTGCACCGAAGTCAGCGCTTACATCAACTCTAGCCAGAACACTGCACTCGGATACGATGAGTCAAGCCCCACCGCCTGTTGTCATCAATGCGAAGAAAGACCACAGATCGACGGTCAGTGTTTTATTTTCTCTTGATTTGTTCTTTTCTTTCTTGCTTTTTTTTAATCTGTTCTCAATGCTGTTTCAATGTATTTGTATCGTCGATTCATTGACCGCAAGGACTGCTCAAACGCCGCGGACCGCGCGCGGCGCGGCTGAATTGTCGCGAGAGCACGGCTTGTATAATAACAGATTTGTACTGGGGCAAGCGTTTTACCTCGCGAGGCGTAATCTAGTCCTGCGGTCAACGAATCTACTATACAAATCTGTTGAGACTATGCGGGCAAAAAAAATCAGACCTTGTTTTACAGATATTTTCCAGATTTTGCTCAACTAGTTTGTAGACCACATCATTAAAGGCAGCGTCCAGGCAGATGTGGACCTATGGGGTTTTTACGTGAAAAGTACTTTTGGAGCCCTAACTAAGGCACTGCTCAAGCGGCAGCTCATGTAGTGCTCTAATGGCTGAGACATTCCTTCCGAAACTGGCCCCCGCGAACGTATTCGCATGGATTCATGGCAGTTTCGCGCCAGGATCCACGCTTTGCGCCATGAATGCATGTGAAACACGGTCGCGGGGTCCAGTTCCAGTTTCGAGGGGACTATCTCAGCCGTTAGGGCACTACCTGAGCTGCCGGTTGGGCAGTGGCTTAGTTAGGGCCCCAAAAGTACTTTCCACGTAAAAGCCCCGTAGGTCCAGATCTGCCTGGACGCTGTCTTTAAGAAAATTTCGCGAATTAAGTTATCGGTTAGGTTGAAGATTGTCTATGTGAAGCTTGGCGGCCGTGACCATTCGTAATGATTTGTACATCAAAAAATGGCCTTTTAATGCTGGTTCGAATTCCATATCTGCGAAACGGTAACCTAGATGGAGTTATGACTATATTTCGATAAAAATGGCTCTACTGCGCCAAAATCATTAATAAAAAATTTTCTTTCCTTTTCAAATGCTGTATATACTTTAAACAAAACGGCAGTATTCCTTTCAAAGCTCTTTATTAGCTTCAAACGGTAGCGTAGAACAAATTTGGTGATTTCAACTACCCAAAACCCCTTCAGAAGATCGTTTCGCAGATATCGACAGCACAATCAGCGTTTCGAGATGCATCCTACGGTATATATCGCATTCCAAATGGCCACGGTCACCGAGTATCCTTTCCCTGTTAGACAAAGGGTAGATGTGTAAACACCATATCAGTGTTTTCTTCATGATCCAAATCTGATGTTTTTTTTTGTGAAAATCATTCAGTTTACTAGTTCCAGTTTTGTAATTGATCTACTTTTTTAGGTTATATTCCTGCATGGGCTTGGAGATTCAGGTGATGGTTGGTCCGATGTTTTTGCACATGAGATCCGACATGATAATACCAAGTATATCTGTCCTAGCAGGTATGCGTGTGTTTTCCTTGCTGTTTATTACTTTAGGATTTTTTGTTTCAAAATCTTTCATTGCAGTGCCTCTCGACCTGTAACCCTGAATATGGGCATGCGAATGCCCTCATGGTTCGATTTATATGGTCTAGATGCTAGTGCTAGAGAAGATGATGAAGGCATTGCACAAGCAACACGACTTGTACATGGCATGATAGATGCTGAGGTGCGAGAGATCATATTTTGAGCAATTTTATCTTTTGTGAGAGTAAGCTGAGGTATTGGTTTAGATTGCTTCTGGTATACCATCAGAGAAAATAATTCTCGGTGGTTTTTCGATGGGTGGCGCATTAGCCCTTTACGCTGGTTTGACGTACCCGCATAAGCTAGGAGGTATCATTGGACTCAGTTCATTTATGATCCAGCGGGATAAGATACCCGGGGTATGTTTTTTCTAAATTGTGCTTTTCCCCTTTGCATTACTTTTAGAATATTTTCTATTTGTTTTTAGGGAGGATAGTTTTACTTTTGCTCTCTATTTAGAGTCATACAGCAAATCTCACCACTCCCATCTTCATGGGACACGGGTCAAATGATTTTCTTGTACCACTGACTTTTGGTCAGCTGACCGCGAACTTGTTGAAATCATTCAATCCAAATGTGCAGTTTCGTATATACAATGGAATGGCTCATAGTAGTTGTGCAGAGGTTAGGCAATCCTTCTTGTCTTCCGCTCTTATTTTCTAGTCTCCTGCATAATTTATCATTTAGGAGCTCCGTGATATGAAGCACTTCATCAATGAAACGATTAATTAATCGACTGTGTTGTCATCGAGATTATATTTGGGACAACAGGTCCTTAGTCTACCTGTTATGTTTCATCGTCGTCGCAGTTCAGTGCCCAATTGCAATGTGTCCTCGTCCATTCCATTTTGCTAATAATGCTCTTATATACTTGTTATATAGTACTCGATAAATTTCTTTTCAAAATTTCATCTGATGACTATGAATAAATACGATTTACATAGTTATGGATTGTTACTTTTGGATCGCGCGCATATAGGTTTTGTAGGCCAATAAAAGTACAAAAACAGTACAGTGCAATGTTTTCCTGAACACTCTGAGAAATATTAGACTAAATGAATTGGTCGAATTCGCTTTCTATGCAAATCCCTTTGGCAACTTTTCTTGTTTTTTTTTGTCTATGGTTTTTGAGGGGCAGTGGTTCGGAAGCTCTAATTATCATCTACCAGCCACTCAAAATATTCTACTATCAGTGAAGAACAGTTATGCCCTAATTTGGCTGAATCTTCGAAAGCTCATTTCTCCAAATTTCTATAAACTTCTGTCTCATGCTTTGATGGCTATAGAGATGAGTTTAGGTTTTCTTTCTCTTGAAAATAACAATAAAATTCGCGATCTGTTATTCTGAAATTCTTGGATCAGAAAAACGAAGTTTTCTCACATTTGAGCACAACAAGAAAATTGGATTTACCCGCTTTCTTGAGCTTTTTATAGGGGAGTGAATTTCAATCAACAGAATTTACATTAGGTTTCATGCTCTCTCATTTTCTGAACACATGCGCTGATCGAGAATCAGAAATGCACACGGCTGGCAAGAATGAGCATGAAACGGTTTGGAAGCGAGTTCTACTTGCATAGAAAGGAATCATTCAATTCTGCTCTTGATTTCACGTTTGAATGAGTGCAGTTCGCAGGCTGAAAGTTCCTTCGGCATTTTTCCAGCATTCTCGATGCACGAACAAAAAACTTTTCGATGGTACAAAGCCGATTCGCACCGCTTATTGGTAAACAAATAAATTAGTCGCTTCATAACTAGGCTTGAACAATCAGTACATAGAAGGCCTCTTTGTTTCGTTTCTGTAGATCCCAAATGCAAGTGCACCCGCGAATTGTTTGTCGATATGAGGGTTACTTAGCAGGTGGGCGAGGTCCTTCCCACTGTGAATTTCGCAGTCCCAGCTTCTAGGATCTTCCCAATTCCTCTAGCACCCTGAGGTCTCCACCGGCCAGGTGCGAATACATGACTCGAAATCGGAATAGAGAAAATCGCTATGGAAGCTGGGAGCGTGAATTTACAGTGGGGAGGACCCCGCCCACCTGCTGATTTCCCTTCCGTATTAGAGCCGTTTTCGCCATTTTCGAGCTCTCCAATGTGCATTTTCGGATTCAGCGTAGCGAATAGGCCCGCACGCTCCCAGCTTCCAGAGCGGTCTTCTCGATTCCGCTGGCTACCCTGCAGTGGCGGTCCCAGGATTTCGGACCGGGGGGGGGGGGGCGCGGAAAAATTTTTTTCAAATGAAGGTGCGTGGCGTTAGCCACGCACTCCGAAAAAATTTTAGGAGTACTTTTCAAAATTTTTGCGGGTCCCCAACCCCTAAAATCTGGAAAAAGGGAGCGTGGCGTCAGTCACGCCCCCGAAAAAAATTTTTTTTATAAGGCTAATTTGAATTTTTAAAAAATTTTAAAAACCATTTTAATTATTTACAAAAATAAACAAGTCGTTTGCACATTTTTATAATCCATATAGGTAAGTTTCAAAAATTTTGCGACCCATTCTCGGGGGGGGGGGGGGGACGCGCGCCCCCCCCCCCGATCCCCCCCCCCTCGGACCGCCACTGCTACCCTGATATCGCTACCGGCCAAGTGCCAATGATTGACTTGAAACAGGAAGCGAGAAGATCGCTCCGGAAGCTGGGAGCGTGAATTCACAGTGGGGAGGACCCCGCCCACCTGCTGATTTCCCTTCCGTATTAGAGCCGTTTTCGCCATTTTCGAGCTCTCCAATGTGCATTTTCGGATTCAGCGTAGCGAATAGGCCCGCACGCTCCCAGCTTCCAGAGCGGTCTTCTCGATTCCGCTGGCTACCCTGCAGTGGCGGTCCCAGGATTTCGGACCGGGGGGGGGGGGCGCGGAAAAATTTTTTTCAAATGAAGGTGCGTGGCGTTAGCCACGCACTCCGAAAAAATTTTAGGAGTACTTTTCAAAATTTTTGCGGGTCCCCAACCCCTAAAATCTGGAAAAAGGGAGCGTGGCGTCAGTCACGCCCCCGAAAAAAATTTTTTTTATAAGGCTAATTTGAATTTTTAAAAAATTTTAAAAACCATTTTAATTATTTACAAAAATAAACAAGTCGTTTGCACATTTTTATAATCCATATAGGTAAGTTTCAAAAATTTTGCGACCCATTCTCGGGGGGGGGGGGGGGGACGCGCGCCCCCCCCCCCCCCCCGATCCCCCCCCCTCGGACCGCCACTGCTACCCTGATATCGCTACCGGCCAAGTGCCAATGATTGACTTGAAACAGGAAGCGAGAAGATCGCTCCGGAAGCTGGGAGCGTGAATTCACAGTGGGGAGGACCCCGCCCACCTGCTGATTTTCCTCCTGTGTTAGAGCCGTTCGCCGTTTTCGCGCTCTCCAATGTGCATTTTCCGATTCAGCGTAGTGAATAGGCCCGGGTAAGCACAAAATCTCAAAATCGAATTTTTGCCCGGACAGTGCCTTCAAGGAGTTTTTGAGCGTTCGTCGCAAATGGGTATGATCTTTTATCCTACTAGTGATATAGTTATTCATCGTACTTATCCTTTCAAGCAATCACACATAAAATGATTGCAAATTTCGTTAAAAAACACATGTGTAGAAAGAGGTACTTTCTTGCAGCTCTTTGCTGATATCATTCCGCCACAATCGAAAAGAGTGAGCTCGGCGGTGTTGTTTGCATTATAGTCAAACACTGTACTTATCAAATGCACGAAAAAACCTCTTCAAAGGGACTGAACTCAAGGAAAAATGTAAGAATTTCAAAAGAAGATCTTTTGCCAGATTCGATGGAAAAATAGAGCTTGATGATGTTCCGCGCGTAAACTTCGAAGGACTCTGGTTTGTGCGTTTTGGAATGGTTCGGAAAATTTTGAGCAGAGGAAGTACAAAGTCAAATGCTTGGTGGAAGGGACGCTGTTAGCGAGACAAGTCTAAGCGATGATTAGCAAAGGGAGAGCAGCAGAGAGGACGGGGTATTTGAGTCTAGAGATTTTTACAAGTTCTCAACAAAACACTGCGACATCTTATATGATTCTGTTGATTATAAGGCTGCTAGCTAAATTGCTGGCAACGTTGCCGAGGTCAGAAAGCGCTTTGTGACGAGATGAGGCTGCTTTCTCATGTGCTTTTGCGGCTCTTTGTACACTTCTTTTTCGACCTTGTTTTCAAGTAACAGCAATATTTACATTGATGATTGACTATATATTAGATCGGTCTGAAAGACTGTGCTGTTTTACAGAACCATGCTTGAACCACTTAGAATAAGGATAGACAAGCGCTCTAAGTAGTGTTCGGTGCAGAATTTCTTCCCATTTCTAATGGCTATGTTATTGTTCCGATCCCTTTGATGTCCCCTCAAATAATCGCCAGAATCTGTAACCTATGGTTTTCACCCATCTTGAGTTTGACTATTTTTTATAACTTCCATTTTCAACTTTTGGATTACTTTTGATAACAATTGAATAGAATGAACAAAATGCAATACGACATATTTTTACCTCTTCAAACAGCTTTTATCTTTTAAAATAAGTTTCCAGAAACCTCCACTTCTATGAAATCGTAAAATACAGGGTGCCCCAATAAGATGTGCACACTGTTTGATCGTTAATAACTCTCCTGCTTTCATGTCTTTTGCCGAGCTTGAGGTGTCATTCTATAGAGCGAGGTTTAACTTAGATTTGCTGCGTGGAGCGAATGATCGATCTCTCTTCATTACTGTAAGATTACGGTAGGAACTTCGAGGAGGATTTCAAGCCATTCCAAGCGGTATTTCGCCGGTATTTGCCTCAGAAAGAAAGCCAAACAAGCCAGAAACTCTTGGAGTGGGCTAGTCGAAGTCGCTGACTCTAAATATGAAACTTGCAATTCAGTATAGTGCTTCTTCCAAAAGTTACTTCGGATTTAGGGTGACCATTGTTTATCTAATGTTCGTCAGAAATGTGAATACGCCATCAAGAAAGCTTGAAAAACTCATGAAAAGTCATGTAGTGAAATTGGCACGCCTGAAAACCTTGCCACACAAATTTTCAGATTTTTTTGAAATTATTCCATCAAATGGCCTATTCCACAGTGGCGCTGTAAGCTAAAAGTTCATACCGTAATCCTACAGTAACGAAAAATGATTAGTGATTATTTCTATACTGTAAATCTAAGTTGATCCTCGCTCTACAGAACGGTACCTCAAGCTCGGTAAATGACATGAAAGAAAGAGAGTTATTAACGATCAAACAGTGTGCACATCTTTTTGGGACACTCTGTATATTAGGTCGTCCCGAAAGTTTTGTCGGTTTTTTAAAACCACTATAAAACCACGCACAATAAAGGCCTGAATGAGTTTCAACATACATTCGATGCAGTTTTTTTTCTCTTTCTTACGGATACATTATCGAGCCACAATCTTGTATGCTTTTTTTGATATTTGTTAAAATTCTCCATCTGCCAATCTTATCTAGTCAAAGATCGGCTACAAAAATTTCATTCTGAAGTTTCCGAAATGGTTAAGTATGATTCTGATAGAGGAATTCTTGGACTACAAGGCTACATTTTTAGATTCTCCTAATCTGCTGTTTATAGTTTGAAAAAAATATTTCTTAAGAGGTTTCGATATTTGGTAAAGTCATGAAACACGCAACTGCAGCAAATACACGGAAACTTTACATCATTCATGCAACATGACCAAGTTTGATTTGCCTTGAAAAAGCAGCTTTTTGGAATTTTCGGTACTTTACGTGGTAAATGTAATTAAATAGTCGCGGTTTTTATTGAATAATTAATTGTAACGTACTTGGTAAACGTGGCCCATGTAATCTAAAATAAACACAATATAGCCAAAGGCTTTCTCTACATAACAGTCACCAGCGCTCTCTGAAACATTAGTGTAAAAATTTTTAAAATTTAGGAAAGATTTGGTGTTGC